AGCTGACCGTGTTTTAGCGCGTCAAGGTAATTTCAAAAAGCATAATTAATGTTATTCAAATATTGTATAAAACATTATTCTGGTTGGAATGTTAGCATATGTCTTTTAATCGAAATTCTATTGTGAGCTTTACGGTAACTTTTTTGTAATTTCTGGTAAATGTCGTTTGACTCGTTCTCGTCTAACTCAATCCATTTAACTGATAATTATATATTTTACGTATGAGAGACAATGCAAGTGTCGTGAATGAAATTACGCCATTTCGCTTGCGCGCAGCTAAAACGGCTGACTTAAAATATAGGATTTCACTGACTGTGCGCAATTTCACCGAAAATTTTCGGTTGCTTGATTTCGCCATTACGTCAGGTTCACATGCGCTACTGTCAGCGAGATATCACCGCCTTCATCAGTCACGAGTAAACATTGACGACAACTGATTTGCTAATTGGTACCATATATCTCTGAGCCTAGCCTTTGAATATCCGGACACACATAGGATCGCTAATACGGCCGCAAACAACGCCGGTAAATTGCCAATCTCGCGATTAATCGAAATCGATCGAATCTTTACCTGACATTCGCTATTTTAGATGTCGAAGATTATTTTTTCGATCGATCGTTATATCATATAATCGATTATTTGCGTTTGTAAATTTTGCAAAGATTTAAATTGATTAAAGGTACTCTTGAATGTTTAAATAATATAAATCTTAGAAATTATGAATTATTACTCTGTAAATTATGGATGTTTAATTTCATAATCTATTCTAATTTATAAACAAGAGTCATTTGATGAAAGGGTCTGATGAAAAGTTTAACTACATTTAACTATCTATAATATTATACGCCATTCAACTTAATATCGCTCGCTATAGTCAAACGATAATTGCATCTGCGTGTTGCGGCAAGGCACACCCTTTCGTAACGAAAGTAATAGGATTTCCGGCGATTTCGTATAACGTTTATTATATTATTTGCATAAAACGCATTTGCTCTAAAAGGACCAAAATCAAACGGTGCTCAAGTGACCGAAAAGCATACACGATATTTCTATTACGCACGTTTGATTTACGATCCAACAAATCCGACTGCGCAAAGTCAAAATTTGCGAATTTATGGACACGTTCATAATTACGCAGAATTCACGTTTGGCGTGAGAGAGAAAGAGAAGGAGACAAAATCTTCGATGTGGCAAATCAAAAAATCGCAAGCATATAAATCGACGTCGATATCAGGATTAGGTTTTCTTTTCGCGATGCGATTATATCATCGATCGCAGGTTAATCTATCAACGTCAGTCGCGTTGCTAACGCTGATTCGAGAGCTCGGCCAATATCACATTGAGTAATATTACGTTACGTAACTGGGCGCGTAACGGTGGCATATATTAAAGTGAAACAATTATCGCGTCTAAATAAACAATAAAAAAATTTCCATCGGTTTTCTCGAGATACTTAGGGAACCGTAGCATGTAACAATTTTATCAGTGCTTTCTCGATATTTTCGCTCTTATTATTCGACGGCTTGTATTTTTTATAATCCAGGAATAAAAATATTATCGAGATAGATGTTGGAAATTCGCCATTTTGTTGTTCCACGTACATATGATGTCTCGTTCAAGTTTTGTGCAATTTATCTCCGTCGATTTTCGCTGTGGTTTATTTGTTTATCTGTCTCGCATCCGTGAGTACGCAGCAACGATTACGCTTGTTAATATTAAAACGCGCTATTAGCATACCCGCGGTACAAAATTGCTATGTATAGATTGCAAAAAAATACGCGATATATTCGGATTAATAATTTTCCTTGTGTTTATTTTTTTTCTAAAAATATTAAATATCGTAAAATAATTAAATGATACTCCGTTTTGCGTAACAATGTAATACTATTACGAATAAAAATAATAGGCTGCCCTATTTTCTGAAGACTCTTGCTTCACTCCGGATTCTTTCTAATATAAAATGTCTTTCCCTTAAAAATTTCTTATAAAATCTTTTGCTTCAGTTTTTCAATCTGTGATGTAAAATGATTTTTTTAGCTTTAGAATTAATCAATCAAGTAATCGCGATGAATATATGATATCATATTATTTTTCATGAAAATTGTGATTATTATTTTTTAATTTCGATGATACCGAAAAGCAAATTTCTAGATTTCTAGATTGTTACAATTATTTTTTAATGCTATTTTATTAATAACATGCTCCAAAAAATTATTGCAATTTACAATTATTACAACTACTGTATTTAATATTTTATTTCCATCGAAATCAATAATACAAAAATTTTGGGAAGAAAACTATCATGCAAATAATTATTCTGAAAAGGTATAATAATTTTCATTCAGTTACAGTTTTTTTATTATGTGCCAAGTTATATTGCATGAAATTATATTTTCATCACACTTAATGATGTTTATCGTGATGCTTTTAAAGGAAAGCCTCAGAAAAACTAGAAAGGAATTCATTTATTTGTAGAGTAGTAAGAGGAAGATAAATGAACGATGTGACTGACTCTATATATACCCTCTTGTATAATAAATTAAAATCCTAAATACAACCGCAACGCGCCATGCATTTTGTGTTTGAACTTATGTAAGCACTCAACGCCGGCGCTGCGTTACATCAGCATCTTGTAAGAGCGTAGAATGTATCGTCGATGCCTCTTTCCATCGAACAACCCTGAGCAGTTTTATCCCCCCCTGCTGTCGATTTACTTCCGCGGGTCGCCGCTTCGCGAGTCGCTCACTCGCTTCTTTTTCCTCTCTTTCCATCGCTCCCTTTACCTTCTCCTTCTCTCTTCTAGTTTCTTTTTTTCCCCGAGACGCTGATGCTCGTTTTCGCTGAAAAATGAGCGCTTTTTGCGGCCGCGCAGTCGTTCGTCGAATTGCGAGTCGTAAATTAGCTCGCGTTCCAGACGAACGTCGGGGCGGAGGGAAAAAAAATACGTTCCAACGTAGAAATCCATCCCCTCGAATGGATACGCTCAGAAAAGAGGGAGGGAGGAAGGAAGGAAGGAAGGAACTGCGGTAGGTAGGTGCACTGAGGTCGAAAAAAATTCGACCTTTTCGCTCAAGTGAGCGCGCGCTTGATCCCTTTTCGTTGATCTTCTAGCGCGACGTCTTGCATCAATCTCCGGTCTCAGGTTTTATGTTCTCTAGAATTCCATCAGCGTAGGACAAGCGGTTGCATAGATAGCTACAGGTGAAATTTTCTGAAAAGTTTTTTGCCAAAGAAAAATACGGTTCGCGTGCACGCTTTCTGAAAATTTATCAGTGATATTTTACAGTATTTTTATAGTATAAATTGTGCGCTTTAAAAATTTTGCGAAAAAGAGACTAGAAAATTTAAAATATCTAAATCATTATTAGAGAGAGAAGAATTATATAATCCTACTTTCGGATTGAACATTTGATGCCACATTTTCTTACTTTATCCTCCAATCGAGATATAATCTTTAAATAACATTTAGTTTGATTGGTGCCAATCCTAAGTTCATTGTAGCGATATGACTAATTGTTCGTGCCACGCAAGGGAAAACTCCATGTAATTGCAGCTAAATATTATTAAGAAACTGCATAAATATAACGCACTTAAGTATCTCGCGTAATGAACTTTCGCGATATCCGCGCAACACGTTGCATTAATAATAACTTCAGTATTGTGGCTGAATAAGACACTTTACGTTACGTTCTCTCTACCTAAGAACTAGGAGAAGAACTCTCGTAGTTCGACGGCAACTTCGAGCCACCGATAAGTGATTACTGGTACAGCACCTGAGGGTTCTCGCGTAAGGTTCTCCAAGGATCCGCTGTTATAGTTCCTTCCCCTCCTTCCTCTCTTCATCGTCTCGGTGAGTTCAGTTCACGGAAGGTAGTTCTAATATCGTAGGATACGCGCGACCTCATGCTTACGCCGTTACGCCGAATGCGCTCGTATCAATGCAACTTGGTTACTGCAAACTCTTGCGAAATGCGACGCGGAAGCGCCGCTGGCGTCAACATTTAGTCTGAGTCGCAGTTTCTCAGGAATCTCGCTGTTTCTTGCGAGCCATTCGAGGACAAATAGTAATGCTATTGCAATATCTAACGTAAATGTCCGCTTGAATATTTGATTTATCCGAAATCGATACGCGGCGCGACGGAGATTTCGACTTTGCCGTGGGTGAAAACATTTGGCCTTACGTCTGCGAAAGGGCACGAATATCTGAGTAGAGATCTCCAGTTTTTTTCGCTCCGCTATCATTATTATTTCACTTGTATCTCACGTTGCCGGCTTAAAATTTAATTGCGTCTGTTGACCTATTTTACAAACGATAAACTTACTCGGAGATTGAGATAATAATTTGATAGAGAATTAATTACACATAATTTAGATTTTGATCAACAATCAGCCACACACATCCTTCCATTTATTACTAATTAAAGCACAATTCATAAAACGAATTATATATAGATATACGAAGTTGCACATGCTTCGCTCATCGTGATATTCTCAAATATTTATGTGTACTTATAATAGAAAATAATTAATATACAAACTAATGTGTTGTTAATTTCGCACAATTACAGTTAATTATTCCTGATTATTCTAATAAACGTTAGTATTGCTTTGATTATCATACGTATGCGGAATTCTATTCTAATACAATGCTCTCGATAATGATACGAATGCATAACCACATGCAATTAAACCAATTCCGTTTATTTATAACTTTAATTTTCTCGTAGATTTCATCTCTTTTTTATTCGCGCTTGAATCGTTAAAATAATGATGGATGAAACATATACATCAAATTTGTTAAAGAATTCATGATTAAAATAAAGAGATCGGAGATCTCTCGTGAATCGTACCGTATACATTCTTCTCATGCAAGTTTCTCAAGGAACAGAGAGAACGAAGCGCGGGCGAGGGATGTAAATTTTCCATTCGCCGCATCCCCTACCGCCTGCGTCTCCGTCTGCAAAATAATTTATGTGCATGCGGCTTTCTTGGGTTTCAGGGGAGCATCCGGCGGCCATGCAACACGGGAACTCCAGCAACAGCGGCGCGGCCACGAGGACACTCGCGTTACTCCTGTTGCTCCTGCACGCTGGCTCCTTCGCGAGGTGACTGGTCGATCACGAGGCGCTGCAGTAAGAGAGTACGGCCGATATAGTTTCACCCAGGCGAGATTGAGGGAACGACTACGAGGGTGGTGTGAGGTTAGTGAGAGCAGAAGGGGAGGGACGCACCATCCGCGCGCTCACCACCTGCTGGACTCTGTATAAATCGGCTCGATCTTCTTTCCGCATTACGATCGCTGGAGTAGCAAAGTGCGCGAAGGGAGGCGAACGAGGAAGATGATGATGCGCGGGGACTAATGGTAAAACGCGCGTAAACAGTTTGTCAACTTTGCTCTCGCTTTCGAGTGCACGAGTCCAGTCGGTTCTGTCCGTGGTTTCCTCAAGCAATCTCCGTGTCCCGTGCAATCGCGCGTATTCGTATACTTATGCGATGAGGTACATGCTGCAACGATCGCACGATCGGACTTTCTGTCGACTGCAAAGCGGTTATCGAAAACGACAACTCGACGATGAATTCGCGAAGATGCGGCGAACTTACGACGAACGAACTTTTGCGTGAACGATCGAACTTGGAGAGTAGCGAGTGTTCGAAGGACCAACGAACCGAGTGATGCGTTTCGACAAGAGCGAATGATTTCTCTTACGTCGACATTTGCGACGACGGGATTAGCATTTCTATCCCTCCGCGCGTAGATTATATATGAAGATCTATCGAACACAGCTGACTGTCATAGATTCACAGAGGTAAGAATCAACGTATTTTCGTCCTCCGGACCGTCAGACCGACCAGCGACCCAGATAGTTTGGCAAAACCACCGTAGGGAATTCCACTCAATTTCTGGTCGCTGGATGCGGTATCGCTTCTTCCTCGAGGAGGACAAATATTTTGAGGTTCGTCGGACTTATCCATGCTCGCGAAAACTTCCGGGATATATATACGCGCTGCGTCATACGAATGTCTCATAAAACGCCGGATGTGCACTCTGACATGCTGAAACTTTGCGTCGACGGCTCGGATGCAATTTCTTTACAATTGTTTGCGAATCATCTTTTGTGTATGTTACAATTTTGTAACAATACAAGATTATTTTCGCTACTAAAATATTGAGATGCTATATCAAAAATTCGTATTTTAATTTTGACGAATCGTATTTTTTCAAAATACACAATTATTACTTTACGCACATATTATATTTTTATAAAGCAGCTAATTTTGGTTTATTATTATTTAAGAATAGAACAAAATAAATTATATTGGTTAAAAAAATTATATACGTTATAATTGGAGGATCAAAGTTTTTCTTTCAAGATTTAGCATTCTTTTTATTAAATTCGAATTTCGTCGAATAAATATTTTCCTCGATCGTTTCCGCTTATTACGGACTAGCAAACGAAATTGGCCATGACAATAATCGGTTTTCGCCTTTCGAGAGACGAAAAAGCGACTGAAGTATCTCTGAATTATGCGGCACGGACCGCGCGAAATTCGTAGCTCGACTAAGGTGGACGCCCGCAGTTTCGCCCGACGTTCCATTTGCATCTCAGAACGCGGAATTTACGAGGCCGGGGGTCGTCGATCCACGCTGTGGTCACGGGACCGTTCGCGTATCCGTGTGCGCGTATGATAGACCCGATAAGTTATATAACTAAGCTCCCTCTCTCTCTCACTCTCGATGTACCATCGTCCGCGAGAGGGAAATATCGGCCTGGTCGATATAGGGTGAGCTGATATATAGCTGATATAGCTGCGGTCTCGATTATGCTAAGGCAGCGCGTTTCCGATTCACGCGTTTAAATGTTAGTTTTACGTATGACTATTTTCTCTCGTAATCAAAGCTGCTCAATTTTATTTTCATTCTTAGTTTTTATTGTTTATCACATTTATAATATACTCTTTTTATCTCTACTTATATACATAAATTGCACATTGTTAATTTATCGCACTTCATACACACACACACACACACACACACACACACATGTATATATATATGTGTGTGTGTGTGTGTATATATAATTAATTGCATTCCATCTGAGATGATCGTGTCACCGATCGGACGTGCGGTTGCAGTTAGCAATCAGCTGACGCGCCCGGAATGTTCTTCGAATAAAGTTCCATTCAACGTTGAGTTGCGGCATCCGAACAGTCCGTCGACGTGGGAAATATATCGGTTACGAAAGTGACGGAAAGTTTTCTTCGGAAAACAGACGCTCGGTGATCTGATCAATTCGATACGTGCGCTAATCCCTCGATAGGATCTCGTTGACTTCAATTGAATAAAAAGCTCTTAAATCGCAGCCTTGATTAAATGTATCTGAAATCTGTATTTGTGAAGTCTCTCTGGATATCTTGATCCGACCTATTACCGTTGAGATTTTCCATCGCCGCAAATCGATTTCATTCAAATTATCGCATGTTCGGCTGCACATCCGGCACACGTTTTTAATCACATCAAGATCTCGCGTCACGGGCGTGGGAGTTTGCACGTCGATCGTAATGCTAAGCGGATAGATTGACGTAAAGGGCTACGGCTACGAAAGCGAGAATAGGATTCCCGAATTTCCGGCAAAGAGGCAATGCGCGTAGACGCTCGGATTTGCGCTCGTTAAGATAATGTTAAACTTTAAGTGATTAACAAAAGTCGTATCGTACTGATCTATCCGTGTATACGTCTCCATAGATCTCCAATCGCAGTGGGTCGGTCGTAGCATATAGAGAAATCCGAGGCGTGTTTGCGAACGTAATGTAGGCCGACATCATTCCGAATAATAATTATTGCATACTATTTTTAAGAGACTTACATGGCGTTGCTCGATAAAATATTTGAAGTTAACGAAAAATTTATAATTGGAAAAATCGAGAAGAGGTAATTTGTTGATTGTTTATCTGGATTTATTTTGTATTCGTCAGTGAGCGAGTAGAAATACAAATAATGCAAACATACCGCGATGCATCTCGTATACATTGCATTTGCTGGAAAAGTATCAGATATCTAGATAAACATAAAAACAGCTGCTGACTTTATATTTTTGTTTATTGTGAACAGTGTTGATTAAGACTTTTTACAAAAATATATTTTATTTATATTATGTCTTTTATTTATATTACGTTAATTAATTTAAAAACTTTGAATTAGACTCTTAATAGAAAGACAAATAAAAACTTATAGATCTATATTATTACTACTTACTATTAGACACGCTTTTACGATAAAATTATTATATAATTTTATTGCATTTTTATTAATCTGTGGCAAGTGAGTTATATTTTATTTATAAAAACTTAGATTTATTATAAATAGAGATAAATACATCTCTTTCCAAAATGTATTTTTATTGGTACATCAAATAACAGTTATCTAGAAAATTTGAATTAATTTTCACAATAAAAACATAAATTAAAACAATAGATTTCGTTTATTTCTATTACTTTTATTTTCATATCTTGAAATTTAAATTATCTTCTGCCTTCTCTCTCTCTTTCTCTATTTTTTATATTACGTCGACTGTCAAATAAATAAATGTCACATTGACAATATAAAAATTTTGTAGATAATATAACAATAAAAATAGAAAAAAATTTCCTCGATGGCGTTGTTTGCTCTATTTTTCCATCTGGCAAAAACGGTCTTCGTGTCGAGTATCGTTTTAGGAACTTGATGTACGTCGGATATGCATTATCAGCAGCACGATCGACCCATGAATAGCCGTACTGTACATACTTTTTTGAATGTAACGATAAATGATCGCTGTAACTCTATTCGACTAAGAACCACAATGCAATTCTTACTAATTTACACTCTTGTTAGATCAATCGAGTGCGTCAACTAAAACGCAGTCGTTACACGAAACTTTCGTCATCAATCAACTATCTCGCGATGATTATGGTTTGAAAGAAATTTTGAAACACGTCTTTGTGTGAGTTTTTCCGTCAGAGGAAGATAAAATATTAGAAGAAATGAAAAGCTTACATTGTAATATCAATTATCAAATTTAATTGATATTTCAATTGTTTAATTGCTATAATGATCGTGTTGGGCAAAATTAATTGGTGTACAAATCGAGATAAACAAATTACTCATTTTTTGTGTGACTTATTAAATCCAAGATTAAAAAGCGATTTTCGAGGAAGGTGATTAACGAAGATACAGCACACAGTACACAGCCTTGTAAATAAAAAAGGATCATTTCCGATCATGTCATTTTTATGATTTACTCGTGTGAATCAGAAGTGCGTAAAAAGGATGCAAAATCTGTCATTGAAATCTCTCTTAATTTGACGCGATCAATCTTTTTTCATTCACATATCATTCACATATCTTTTTTCTCAGTCTATGCAAAGAGCCACAAAAATACAAGATTTACTTCAAAAATTCTTCCAAAGAATAATTTTGCAACTATAATAATTTTCCGACTACACAGTGGAAAAGCTGCTGTGAGATAATTTTTGACTTTGACTAGATGCGACAGATTGCGATGAAATTTTGCGCACCTCTACAGGCGATCAAGCAATCTCCGTTTTGACGAACGAGATGAGAAGGCGCGACGTGGTTGTATGTTCCTGGAGAAGAGTTCCCGACGAAACGATCGTCGTCAATCACGAGAACGAACTCTGCAAAATCACCACTACCACTTTGCACACACACACACACACACACACACACACCCTGTCTCCCTCTTTCCACACTCCTTCCATCCTGCCACACCATCCCTCGTGCTTTTTTTATACGCCAAACGAGATCTGTCCTCGTTAGTATTTGTAAATGGCTTTCGCGTACGCGCGAGGGCCCCGCTAATCCTGCTTCTGTATATTCCGAAAAAAAAAAAAATATAAAGGCGATACGGACGCGGGCAGCGATTAATTGACTCGCGTCCGAGTCGCGAATGAACGTGAAGGACTGGTAGAGAGTAAGTTTAACCCGATTGTACGAGATCAATTACTTGTTAGCACACGAGCGATCAGCGTACGCTCTTAGCGACACTACTCGAACGATGTTAAACTAACAAACATACCGTTAATGTATATATATATAAACGAGCAGTACGACTTATTGTTTATGTTGGATCCAATTGTACCAGAATTCCTAAGGCAATTAAAAGAGAAGAAATAACGATTATTTGTGGGAGACATACGGAGATTCTCATTCCGCGAACCTCTACCCCGGCTGACTATGACGCATTGATTTTTTTCCGCCATTTAAAAACCTGCACGCGAGAAATTGGATCATTTATTTGCATAACCTTCCGCATTCCTCCATTTCCATCGCATTTTTAATTGAACGATCAGATTTTTGGTCGAATTCATTTTACAGGTTTAACTCGTTCTGGATATGATACGCGGATTGATACGTTACTGTATTATGAAAAATCTCTCTATATCCCGTAAATTAAAAATGCGAATTTTATTTATTCTATTTATTTCACGACGTGTACTTTTTTATTCGTTTATTTATATTCCGTTGATATTGTTTTTCAGTAATGACGGACATATTGATGCATTCATCTTACTACAACTGCACTACTACGCATCGAAATATCGAACGAACCTCTATCCTAGTTATCTCTCCTGAATCTCTCAGAAATCTCATAACAGCAATTTCCGAAACACAAGCATAAGAAGAAGATGAAAACAAGACCCTGACGAAAACAGGAACCAGCCTATGTCTTAACCGCTGCGCAGACCGACTTCGTACACCATAGGTAAGTATTTCCTCGTCCTTTGTTTACGAATGTATACTCTCAACATGATATATGGAGGTCATTTGCATCCAGTCTCATATACAGCCACTGTCGATAAACAGCGCTCAGTATAGCTGCATAAACATGCTTCCCTATGTGCGCCCCGATAGGTACGTCGGGCATTCAGGTGTGCATGGTCGATGAATACACACGCTGGCCGTTCCTCATATCATCTTATGTCGTTCCTACTTAGTGGCACTTAAGCGGATACCCCGCAACTTGCGGGGATCCATTGAAGCAAGGTTGTTGGCCAGGACCGGTTGCCAACGGGAACAATTTCGATGTAAGCCTCTCCCCCCCCCCCCCAGTTGGGCGCGACCAGATTAGAATCGATCTAGGTCACCACGTGGACACGCTAGAGGAGCAAATATGATTGCACCTGACGTTAATCCGCTCAGCGTTCATGTCCGTAAAATCAATCGCGATTTGCAACGTAAT